GCAAGGGAGTCCCACCCGAAAGAGCACCCAGATTTATTATTTTCGTCACTCAAATTGGGACATAATTCACAAAATGAATACGTCTGTTTTGAGGGGGACCTAAAAATAGCAAGTAAGACCATTAACTTAAACTGGACTCTAACAATGTCCAGGAGAGTCGCCCCCTGCTGGCCATCAGAAAAGAATGCAGTTTTAAGCCAATTCTGACTTTTCTTATCAGACTTTTTAGGTTAGTAATAGTTTGGACAAATCACATTAATCAAAGAGGCTTGGAGCATGCAGTGCATCTTTAAGAGTCTAATTCAACACTGATAGCCCTCTGCTAGTTTGTGCTGTCGGGCTTTTTCCATTGACTGATTGTAAACAACTGTGATGATGTTTAATCTTTACTTAAAATCTTAAATTTAGGTGATAAATTTGACAATACTGGAAAATTATTGTGACACAGCAGGAGCCATGGTAGCAACATGTAAGTAAAAATAAGACCTTTAATTTGCTATACCTTGTTTTGACCAACCCACGATCCCACACGATGATGTGACCCTTAAAAATTTACCCAAAATGCAACTTTTAAAGAAAAATAATCAGAGTGATGAAAACAAAAACGTGACAGGAAGCTCAGACACGCACAGAGACATATTGTTTCAGTAGACAGGAGGTTCAAGTGTTTGTATTTATGGATTAATTATGTAACAGAAGTACATAATCTGTTTACTCGACCTCTGACCCTCTCGTCCTCCGTCCCTCTCCAGACCATCAAGGCTACGTCTCCGCTCGGCGACCCCCGTGTGACCTACAACCTGGAGGAGGGTCAGGTGCCGGAAACCAACATGCCGGTGCGGTTCTACATCAAACCGAACCGGGCGGACGGCTCAGCTTCCATCCTGGTGGCGGAGAACCTCGACTTCGAGACGACGCGCTTCTTCACGCTGCGAGTGCGAGTCCAGAACGTCGCTGCTGTGCCGCTCGCCTCCTTCACCACTGTCTACGTCAACGTGACGGGTGAGAATGAGTGTGTGTGTTTGAGTGCTTCAGGTCCTATTTCAGTTTTAAAGCTTGTCAATAACTTTGGGTTCTTTGAGGGTTTAAGGGCAGCACCAAATGTAATACATGGTGATGAGTTTTTAGGGGTTTAATCAAGGAGCAGAAAGCAATTTTAGGAGTTGGTTCATTCATATCAACAGCTAACGCCTCCATTCAGTCTTATTAAACCGTTGCAGAAGAAGAGCAATGAGAGGAAATAATTGCAGGAGTGCAAAAGTAAAAGAATTTAAAAAAGAACATGATGGATATTTGCTGTTTGCTCGTGGTGTTGTATGTGATTGTTCCCATGAAAAGGGCCACAAATAACTGGAATAAATTAGCTTCTGCGTAGCCGATCGATCACAGTCCAGCCACTAACATTGTTTTATGAATGATGTGATCTGAATGAGACGACAGCCAGTGTGTACGATCGCTTTCTAATGTTTGGATTATCAAACTCTCAGTTCCTTTCGATGTCAATGCATTTTACAAGCGGCACAAACTCNGACTGTGATTAAAAGGTTAATGTGGTGACAGAGATTTTATTTTAAATCTGTTGTTTTTTTTGGAGTGAACTTGCATGAATCAGTGAAATGTGTGTGTTCAGGAATATACGGTCCCAGGAGCTTTTCATCCATGTGTGTGAGTGCAGGTCATACTCTTTCTGTAAAGTGAGGCGGCATCACTCAACCATGGAAAACACAATCCTTCCCTGGAAAGGTTTGTGGTCAGGAAGGACAAAGGCCTTAAAAGCACTTTCTCTCTCTCACACACACACACACACACACAGTTATTTTTCCTTTACAACGGACATTTCATTGACTTATATTCATGTCCCGCAAGCTCAGTCTAATCCTATCTGTAACCTTAACCTAAACCTAAACTCATCCTGACCCTGAATAAAATCTTCATACATAAATTTGGTGATTTATGTTACGGCGACTCCCTTTGTCCTCAAAAATGTGACTGTGTAAAGAGTGTAAACAGATTTATGTCCTCACAACATGAGCAGTGCACACTCACACTCTGAGGTCGGCTTATTCTACTGCCAAGAGAATAATATCTATCTTAGTCTGAAAAGCTCTGCGCCGGTCAGGACAACACACACACACAAAAACAGACACACACACACAAAAAAAATTATCAAATATCAACAAAGCTGAAGCTGAAACCTTTTTCGGTGTCTCGGAAAAGTTTTCTCCGCTTCATCTCCATAGAAGGACTGAACCGCGGCTCCGACCGTTGAAACGCCGCATTCTTTGAAATGCGGTTGTGTATCTGTGGGTGTCATCTTTCTGGTGAGTGTTATGGTTTATGGATCTGGAGGCCGTCGGAGCCGTTGTGAAGACGAACGACCTCGCCGTCGACGCTAACGGCCGCGTGATAACATGATGTCATCGTGAACCAGCACAGAGTCCGTTTTTGGCCTGATTTCCTGACAGATTGTTCTAATGCGATGTGAGAGTTACGGCTGATACGTTTGTGTTCGTAAACTTGGAGCCTGAAAGTAACACACACGGAGGTTTGAGGGGCCGGCTGTATATCTTTTGTTCTCTCTGCACTGCTTGTAATAAGTCTGAGTGATGATTCTTGCTTCTGTTTTCAGAATCCATCAACTCTGAACAGATGTTCTCGTATTAGGAACTCCAAACACTAGACTACATACTAACAGCAACATTCTATTAAACTTCTCACATGTAAACAGAAGCACAGATTAAACTACAGCTACCCTGTGACCCTCCGATTCAGAATGGCAGAAAGCCACAAATGTCTCAGGCCGATGGACCAAAGGGCAGTAAAGTTATAAATATTACACATATAACGTTATTGGACTGTTTCTAAAAACGTTACCACAGTTGTCCGACCCCTTGAAAAGAGGGACATAATATATACCGCTGAGGAAGGCTTGGTTCCAAAGCTGTACTTTTGTGTTGGTTACATTTAAAATGTTGTTTTCTTCTTTCTGAAACAGAATCTGAATGCATTTTAGTGGTGTAGATTCCAAAATTATATATATATACAAACAAAATAAGTAATTAATGAAACATATTTTAACA